CCATTTATCTGTTCCTTCTATTTACAAGTAGAACTGCTCTCTTGCTAATATTTTCTTTTACCCATCTTCCTTTATCCCTAATCCTTCCTTATTACCTACATTCTCTTCTGGCAATCTGATGTTCAGATTGCCTGAGCATCATTTGTTTGTTATTTTGTGTATATGTGTGTGTGTGTTCTGTTCATTTCTTCTCCTCACTCCCTACCACATGTTCACTTGATCTTTTCTATTTCCCTTACTCCACTTTCTCACTATAGCAATATTAGCTCTTACCCCTTCTTTATATAACCAAATACCTGCTATTATTTAAAGCTACTTCTACTATCTCCTTCCTACTATCACCTTGATTAACTAAGCTCTTCTTAGATGTTGAAGACACTTTCTTTTCTGAATAGGATTCTAATTGTCCAGAAACTGTGAACAAGAACTGACAAATAGGACTATATCAAATTACAGATTTTCTGGATAGCAAAAGAAAGAAATACCAGAACCCAGACAACCCATAAACAGCAGAAAATCTTGCCAGCTTTTCAGCAGATAAAGGATTCATATCCAGAATATTCAAAGAGCTCAAAAAAGTAAACAATAAAAGAACAAATAATCTAATAAACAAGCAAGCAAATTGAATGGACAGTTCTCAAAAGAAATTAAAGGTGATGATGTCTGGACTTGCATGTAACCCTATCAGAGCCAAAGTCCCCTGGATAGAAGTTTATCATGGACACTGGAAAGATTTTCTGCCCTAGTTAAAAGATGATTGAAATGCAGTGTTCCACCTTCCTGAGTTTGGATGTTGGTATATGCCAATGTGATGTCTGCAGCTATGAGAGTCACTTTGTGACTATGACGGGAAAGCTGAGAATCTTATTTAATTTAACCAGAAACTCTGTCAGCTTTGTACTGCTGAATAAACCAATCCTAGAACTGGTTAACACCTTCAGATTTCTTGTAATAGGGAATAAAAGGCTTCATTTAAAAAAACAAAGTTGAGTTTTTTGTCATATGCATTTGAAAACAAACATTCAATGACATTAAACAATTAAAAGAACTGATCAACCTAAATGTGGGTGGTTCATGTCTGTAATCTATTCAGAAAGCTGAGAACTAAAGGTTGTAGTTTGAAGCAAGCCCTGGAAGGAAAGTCCATGAGTTTCTTATCTCGAATTAACCACTAAAAAGCTAGAAGTGGAGCTGTGTGCTCAAGTGATAGGGTACTGACTTTGAGCACAAAAGCTCAGGGATAGCACTCAGGCCCTGAGTTCAAGCCTTGGGACCAGCACCAACCTCATATCCCCCAAATCCTGATCTAAAATGATCATCTGAAAATGGGCAGTTGTGCAATTAGGAACATCTAAGTTCTAGTCTAGTTTGATAACTAATTGTCTACAGTCTAAAAGGTGGCCATATTAGGTCTCTAAGGCAGGGATGCCTTCTATGATTCATCTAGCTCAGCAATCTTTTAGCAACAGGAGCATCTGCAGTAGAAGGCAATAGAAACTTGTAAGCAGCTCAGAAGCTGTCTATCCACAGTGATAGAGGAAGAACATGTTTGTATATGTCTCCAGTTCTTTCTCTCATGGCCTAGAACTCTAGCACCAAGAACTTGCCTGAACTGGAGCCTTAGCATCTATGAGCTTGGCATCCAAACTCACCCGTTCCTACACTTCACACACTTGTCCACACAATTGCCAGCAAACAAATTCCTGTTGGTCCTGGTTGCAAAATTAGTATGTGGAAGCAAAATTCAGCTGGAATCCAAGTCTCTGAAGTAGAGTAATGCCCCCTCTATTATTCGATAGAAGAAATACTTTCCACTTGGGGCTCAATTCACTTAATAATTAAAGTATTATATTTGTATGTTTCTTAGACTTGCTTGTAAAAGACTGACACCTGTCTTTAACTGATTCACTTGTTCAAGTTTATGCTTTCAAGTGTATTCTTTCAAGCAACAAGATCACAAACCTCTCCTCTATCATCACACCTAGTGTTTTGTAGGATTTCATAACGAGAGAGAAGTAATGAGACATAAAAGTACAGCCCATGAACGAAGAAGGTAACTGTTTCACAAGTACTTTAAAAATTCTAGTAGTTAGCTGGGCACGAGTTGTTAATATCTATAATCCGAGTTACTCAGGAAGCTGAGATATGAGGACCGAAGTTCAAAGCAAACCTGGACAAAAAAGTTTGTGAGACTCATCTCCAGGTTAACCAGCAAAATGCTGGACTGGAATAAGGCTCAATAGAGAAACTGAGCAAAAATGCTGAAAGCACAAAGCCATGAGTCCAAACCCTGGTCTTTGCGCGCACGCGTGTACACACACACACACACACACACACACACACCCTCTAGTACTCGTCTGATGCCAGTGGCTCAACTACAATCCTAACTACTCAGAAGAATAACAGTGGCCATTCTCCTATTATACTGGCAACTGATTCTGTGTTCGTTAAACGGAGAGATTCCAATAGCATCCATTTCTTCCCCACTGAAAGACTTCAGGTCTGTAAGTCCAAGCAGATGGGAGTGCTAGAAAACGGAGAGTCCGATTTCAGAGCATTATTGAAAATTTGTAGCTTCCGCCCTTGCACGTTCAATGAAACAGCTCTGGCCCCTTATCCAAGAGTCAAGTAGACCCCGCCACCCGGTCTTTCTCCCTCCTCTACGCTACCCTTCTCCTCCCCTTCCTACCCAACCCGACCCGCCGGTAGACTAAGGCAGGGCTCCCGCAGAAGGAGGAGGGCCTCAGGAGGGCGGGGCGAGGGGCGGGCTGGCCGGCCACTCCAGCTCCAGTCCACCGCCGCGGAGGGGCGTGGCCAGGACCGGAAGGGCGGGGTCTGCGCAGCGCCTAAACGAGACCGAGGGAACGGAGCTTCCTTTCCCGCGCGGCCGCCCAGAGAAAATGGCTCGCGGCGCTTTGTCAGCCGCGCCTGCGGGGCCGTGGCGCCGGCGGGCGGGCCGCTGGGCCCCGGGAGGTGAGAGTAGTCGCGTTCTCCGCCCTCCTCCCCTAGGTGCGGCGCTCCGCCGCCTTGTGGGTGCCGAGCCCGGCTCCCGCAGCTCGGCAGTCCCCG